AAAATAAGGAATCTAGAATTGTTCAATGATGGTGTGAAAGTAACTATTGACACTGAAGTTCAGGAACCCCAGCATTGACTAGGATTCCTCAACATTCTGCAACTAAATACTAGAAGCCTAATCAACATAGAGAGAAGAACTAAGCTAGCAAATGCAATTGCAGTTGGAAATTTTAATGTCATATGCTTAAGCGAAACTTGGCTTAACGAGAATATTCAATCATCAGAGCTTTTTCTAAGTGAATATAACATCTATAGATCTGATAGAGCTATTGTGAGTGGTAAAAACTGTCACGGAGGCAGCCTAATAGCTGTCAAGAATAGTCTAATTACCGAGGACTTATCCACCAAACATGACATTCCTGATTCATGTGTGCTATGTAGTATAAAACTTCATCAAACTGAAATGATAATTGGCTCATTCTACAATCCGCCAAAAAACAGTAATTACAGATACAAAGTGCATGAATTTGAACAACTGATCAAAGCCATTCCTAAAAACAAACCGTTTCTCTTATGTGGGGATTTAAATTTCCCAGAAACAAACTGGAACACCCTCACCAGTACTGACGAGGAAGAAAACCAAATACTGCAAATTTTTGAAAATGGACTCTTTAGGCAGGCGATAGATTTCCCAACATGTGTGAAGAACATACTAGACGTAGCCTTCTATCGGAATTGCTATACAAGTGCCGAACAAGATTTTAACGTTTCCAAGATTTATGACTGCTCAGATCACAATGCCATAATGTTGTCTATTGAATGCACGGTATCAGAGCCGAAACCATACTTGGAAAATTTTAGAAGTTTTGGAAATGCCGATTTTGAAGGAATAAACAATTTTATAAACGAGAACCCATTTGAACCAGTATGCCACACAAACATTAACAAAATGCATGAGGAGTACACCCAATATTTGGATGAAATCATTAAGAGTTTTGTGCCTCTCAGAACAAGACATAGGCAATCACTTCCACCTTGGATAACAAGTAGCACTTCAAATTTGATCAAAAAGTTACAAACAAAACGGCAATCATGTATACTCAAACCGACCAACTACAGAAGACAACAAGTTAAACTGTTTGAAAATTTAGTAACTGAATCATCGGAAGTGGACAGGAAAAACTACCAAGAGGAATTGTTTAGAACACGGAACACTAATGTAATTTTTAAACACCTAAAGAACTTGAATAAACATACAAGTCTTCCTAAGTTACTCATAAAAGATGAAGTTGAAAGCACAAATCCAAACGAACAAGTCAACATGCTAAACGACTTCTTTCATTCAGTTTTTAATCCTAAAGAAAGTTTTAGTATTAGAGATATTCAATTTGGAAATCCCTTGTTAACGAATTTTGATATATCGAAAAAGACAGTAAGTGAGATTTTATCAACTCTGGACGTAACAAAGTCACGCGGCCCAAATGGGTTGCCACCTAGCTTTTTTCAGAAAACGAACCGCAATATATGCAAACCGATGAACAAAATTTTGAGAAACGTAAAACGCCTACGAAAAATACCTGATTCATGGAAAACAGCTGCAGTTACTCCTGTTCACAAAAAAGGTGACCGAAAATTGGTGAACAACTATCGACCAGTATCGCTATTAAATATTGACAGCAAAGTCCTTGAAAAATGTATATACAAAGACCTGTACCCTTACTTTGCCTGGTATTTGACGAAACATCAACACGGTTTTACTAAAGGTAGATCAGTTTTGACAAACATGCTCTCCTTCCTGAAAGAAATATATGAAGCGCTTGACAATGACTCAAACGCAGAAATTGTAGCAGTCTACACTGACTTTGCAAAAGCCTTTGATAAAGTTCCGCATTTTGATCTACTCAAGAAAGTTGCACTTATAGGAATAGGAGGCTGCATGTTAGAGGTACTCTATGACTATTTGAAAAACAGGAAACAGTTTGTACGAGTAGACAATATCAGCTCAAAAGTTTTAGAAGTCACTAGTGGTGTTCCCCAAGGATCACTTTTAGGACCACTGCTCTTTTGCATTTTTATTAACGACCTACCTGAAGTACTCAAATTCTCTGAACCATATATTTTTGCGGATGATCTTAAACTACTTTCCATCAAAAAAACATCAATTGAAATTCAAGAAGATCTGGACAAAATTCAGCAGTGGGTAACTGAAAACAAAATGGAATTAGCACTAGATAAATGTGCAAAAGTAAGTTTTAGGGGCGGAGACGCCAACTCTATGCTTTTTGGTGTAGTGCTTGGAACATCGATGGTTGTGAAAGATCTGGGAATTTTTGTGTCGGGCGATTTAAGTTGGAAGGTACACATTGAAACAAGATTAAAGAAGGCAAACCAAGTACTGTACCTCCTGAGAAGAAACCTATTAGCAAAGATAAATACGTTTGTAAAGTTAGGCCTGTATAAGTCACTAATACTCCCAGTGTTATTATACGGACTCTCATGTACACATATATCGAGGGGGGATCAATTGCAGTTGGAGCGATTTCAAAAGAAAGCAATCCGGTGGATCACTGGAAATAAAACGGGAGTGTACATCAACGAACTACGCTTGCTAAACATTTTACCCCTGCCCATGTTCATCCAGCTAAATAACATCTTACTTCTTGCCAGTCTTGATTCTAATGAACGAAATGAAATAGTGTTAAACAGGCGAACCACACGGGCTAGAAATATAGAAATTTTTGAGATGCGAAAAGTGAGAACGGAAAAAGCGAGAAACGAATTTGTTTTCAGAACCAGTAGGATTGTAAATCGATTAGAACCATATATTCATTTTGATAAACGAATCGGCCTCAAGACGAGAATTTTAAACACGATGTGGAAATTTGTAAACGAGAGATTTTCAGAAATGACAACGTGCACGTGGCAATTATTCTGTGATTGTATCACGTGCAGAAACAAGTGGACATTGTTTTAGAGAAGACGCCGGGACCAAGACTCCCAACAGCAGTGCTGTGAATCCCCAACAACAACAACAACAACAACAACAACAATAGGAGTTTTGGCATGCTAAAGCAATTTTTCAGGAGGTAAAAACCATAATGGGCGTCTAGTTTGTCAATGACATCCGAGATTTTTTCAAGCTCCTTAATTTTTTCGTCGAGCATTTCTTTTCGGCAAAGTTCGCGGATTGGAGATCCTAAAATGAGGAGTTCTTCTTTTGTTTTTATTCTTATTTTGGGGCATATTTTTCGAAATTGTGTTAAAATTGAATTATAATGTGTACTAGTAGTCGGTCCCAAAAAACAAAGTTCACACTTCTAAATACCAGATGTTAATTTTCGACTCCAACTGTTTGACTAGTGTATGAATTGTTTCCGCAAAAAGGGGTGGGGCTTCAGGATCACCCTGCTGAGTTCCGTCTTCTGACATTATGACAGAGCTTCCGTAAAAAAGGTAACTAGGTTTACCATACGCGCAATGGGTGTAATTATACAATTCGGGGCGATTTGAATAAACATGATTCAGCATTGTTTCTCTGTTTAAAGAGTTAAAGGCATTCTTAAAATCTAGTTTTAAAAGAACAGTGCATTTTGGATTGTCGTCGCGTTCAATTAGGTTTCGAAACGAGTGCGCAGCTATTTCTGCTCCTCGTTTGTTTGGTACCGCATCCTACCTGTACGTTTCCGAAAAAATTTTGTCGCTTGGAGAGGGCCTTGCTTCCAGCGCATTTAGACGCAATACGTCTCAGCGTGTTGCCTATGGCAATCAGTCTCAACCCTCCTTCTATCTTAATGAGGGCGATAAGCTTTGCGCCAAAAAAGAAAGGTCTTAGTGGTTCGGGTATTTTGCCATCTCCAATGAGGTTTATCAGCTTAGTAAGCGATTTCAGAAAATTAAGTCCTGCACTGCCATTCGACTTACTAACAAGATCTTTAAAAATTTGAGGAACTATTTTATCAGGACCTGCTGCTGATCCGTTTGGAAAGGACATTATCGCATTGTATAGGTCGAAATCGGTTACAAAAAAACTATCCAACTTTTCTGGATTTGGAGCTGCAAATTTGGCTCGCTGCGGGTACTTAGACAACAATTTTTGATAGTTATCAGTTGAAAAAGGAGTTATTTTGTCATCCGAAGCAGCAAGCCTTATTCCTCCCTTTACATTTCCTTCATCGAGCTTACTACTTATTAACTTTATTCTCTGCTCGAGGTCACTCAGAGGCCGGCTTGAAACTTGGGGATGGGGTTTTGGAAGTGACACGTCATTTGCTCGAATTGTTTTATTTATCCAAGAACTCATGCTTGTGGTCTGTTTGCGTCCACTTCTTTTCGGTTGCTCCAAAAAAAAAACAAAAAACAAGAACGACGTTAAAAAAATTAGCCATTTTGTAACATCTTCTACATTGTAGACGATGTCATTTATTTTGTCCGACAGACTTTTCGCCAAGGGAACACGCAAGTCTTTTGGTACTTTATTGAGTACTCGGACATTTGAGATGGCTGTATTAACATAATTGTCTAGCACTAAATCATTACCTATTGTTGCTTTATTAACAGATTTGACATCAACGCATAAAGGACACTGAAACCATTCGGTTTTCTTAGAGTCGCTAAGAGAAATAGTTTCAAAACTAATATGATACCAACTAGAACAATAAATACAATCCAATTTATCAGTCCTGAATGTTTTAAGCAATCTTTGCTTGTACACTCTTTGTTGTTTTTCCTCATCTTGACGCAGCATAAAGGTAAAAAAAAAGGATTTTGACTGGACTTTAGGGGACTGAACTAACCCATGATAAGCGGTTAGTGGGAGTTTTACAAATCAGCAAATTAAAAAAAAAGACAACTAAATAATTTAAATTTTAAAATCGAATTATAAAAATCAAAAACAAGGAACAATCTCACCCGAGCTCAGTAGGTCCAGCGGCGCACCACCAGACTCCTCAAGCCAGTTCCAGTTTCCCACCTCCCCACAGAAAGCCACTTGACAGACCTGTCTCTAAAATCCCTCAGAGGGCGTTCCACATACAGGCACAAACATCAAACTTAACAAATCTATTTAATAAGTTTATCACAACAATTAAGCTAAAAGTCTAGCACTTCAACAGTATAATTCAATTTTAACAAAAACAGTAACCATTATCACCCGGTTTAGAGATAATAGGCTGCATCCATGAGAAATTGAGCTAAAGTGGAAAAAATTTAATCAATTTAATTGTTGTGATAAACTAATTTTGAGATACATTTATTAAATAGCCTAACTGTTGTGATAAACTTATTGAGTAGTTCAAATTTACCGCTTGTGTGTTTTCATATCTTATGCGCGCTCGGCCTTCCTCTTTTGATTATCTTATCGAATATCGGCGTCCCAGCCGTAGGCTAGTGAAGCTTGCCTGGCGTATCTAGACGCAAGAAGTAGTAAGCAGTTGGAACTACCCATCAACAACACCAAGTTGTACCGTTCGTTCCTATCACTTTTTCGTTTGTTTTTTTTCTTCTTTTTTTAAGCTCCCCGAATTGAATGAAATTCATTGCGCAACCATCCCCCCATCATTCCACGTAAGAGCTTCTCCGTTGCCTTCGTTGTCTGTGTTTCAGGTGGATGCTCCGATTCCAGGCAAGGCGCATCCCTGACTTCTCACAGAACCTTGTAATTGGCACATCAAGGACAAAATATATCAAACCAGCTCTAAAAAAATCTACAATTCCTTCTTACCTCAGCGCCACACACCAAGATCTGTATGGAAAAGTTCTACATTACAGACCAGAGCGCCTCAAAACAATAGCCATTATCGCCGGATTTAATGATAATAGGCTGCATCCACGCGAAATTGAGCTAAAGTGGAAACAATTTATCAACTTAATTACAAACAAGTTTAAGCCCAAAACCCTAATCATTCCCATAACCCTATTCATCTCTAAAACAATCCAAAGCTCCAATAATAAAGGTGTTAATCGCAAACTCTACATTCATAACTATGTGCTGTTTAACTTAATTAATAAATTTGTTCATCCACACACACTCTTTGTTTCGACCAATCTTAATCTAAATCCAATTCCTCAAATTTTCTGGCGAGACGGCATCCACTTCTCGTTCTTTGGCAATGAGTTCTTGTCAAATTTTCTTGCTTATAATGTTTCTAAATCCTCTTGATAATCTGACAATACCGTTCCTCCTCATGAAATGTCTGATCAAACACATTGTATCATATGTAACAACCACCTACGCGGCCATGGAATTTGGTGCAAAACATGCGCAGCCTTCATGCATGTAAAATACAGCGGCCTTAACCGAAGCAGTGACCACGATGACTGTTTTAGCTGCCTTTGCTGCACCAACGATCTAAATCCTGCCATTGCAAATAGAAACGAAACTGTAACAGCCACACCCGACCCCTGGTCAAATCCCACACCTGAACTAAAAGATAAACTAAGAGCAATCTACAGCCAAGTAGTGCACTGCAAACCAGTCATCATGATCTTCGCAAAAAGCAGAGTTGGGTTTAATTTTATAGAAACCCTAAAAAGAATCTTCAACTCGTTAATTGAAACAGAAGAAAAAACATACGCAAAGCACGCAAAAATTCCGATGCTAAATACCGATGCAAAAATACTGATAGACGTTGAAAAAGCATTTAACTCCCTATACCGGAACCTGGCTTTGAAAAACAATGCAAATATATGCCCTTCTATACTACCTGCTATACAGAAATTATACTCTAATCCATCCAAACTCTTCGTAAGCAAAAAATTTATTCTATCTAGAGAAGGAACCACACAAGGAGACCCATTAGCAATGGCGATGTACGGGCTAGCCACTACCTTTAATAAAACTAGTCAACAATAACAGCTCAACTCAAAAATGGTATGCAGACGTGGTAACGCAGTCCGAAAATTGAAAAACCTGCGAACAGTTCTTGGCAAAATTATCAAACAAGGAATATTTTTTGGATATCATGTAGAGACATCGAAAAGCCAGCTCATTTTAAAAGATGGAAATTACAATGAGGCGTTGAAAGTTTTCAAAAATACCGGAATTAAAATGAAGAAAGGCGCCAGAGTACTTGGTTCTGTCATAGAATCCGAGACTGAATGTAAAACGTTCTTAGAACCTATTGAAAAAAAATTGCTAGATCGCGAACACATCACCAGAAAGAGTGTACTCCTTCTAAACCACCAATTCACAGCCAAATAGTGCACTGGAAACCAGTCTTCATGGTCCTCGCAAAAAACAGAGTTGGGTTTAATTTTATAGAAATTCAAAATAGAGTCTTCGGAAAAAAAAGTAGAAACTGAAGCACAGCAATTTAATAAAATAATGAGCATTGGAAAATTATCGAGTGCTATTGCTAAATTAACTGGTTTTTCCAAGGGAGTTCTCTCACTCGAGGAAATTGTCAAAAGTCAAATGGTTGAGCAAATCTTTTTTGAGAAACACCCTCCCGCGGAGCCAACAAACATCATGCTAGAAGATACAACCTCTTTCCACTAATCCATATTCGACCAAATAATTGCCCAGAAAATTAGGAAGGCTGCCATGACAACACATGGTTCTCATGGACTCTAAGGCCTGGATGCAAATGAGTGGAGATGCATACTAACCCACTTTGGCCAACAGTCAGTTGAAATATCAAAGCCACTAGCCAAAATTGCTCAAGAAATATCAACAGAAATACTAAGTCCTGAGCTGCTCGAACGATATAATGCCTGCCAACTAATTCCACTTGATAAAAACCCAGGAGTTAGACCAATTGGCATACACGACGTTATCCGCAGAATAATAGGTAGAACGATCACAAAGTGCATAAAAAGCGAACTTAAGGTACTTGGATCGAATCACCAACTACGCCTTGGCCAGAAAAGTTGCATCGAATATGCAATTCATACGCTTAGGAAGCAATACGAGAAAACAGATTCCGATGCAAATTACAGATAGACGTGGAAAACGCAGTTAACTTCGTAAACCGGAATCTGGCTTTGAAAATTTTTTTTTTTAAAAATGCCCTTCCATACTACCTGCTATAAAGAACTCATGCTCTAATCCATCCAATTTCTTCGTAAATAAAAAAAGTTATCCTATATAGAGAAGGAACCACACCAGGAGACCCATTAGCAATGGCGATGTACGGGCTAGCCACTTTACCTTTAATAAAACTAGTCAACGATAACAGCTCAACTCCGAAATGGTATGCAGACGATGGGAACGAGGTCGGAAAATTTAAAAGCCTGCAAACAGTTCTTCACAACATTATCAAACACGGAAAATATTTCGGATATCATCTAAAAGCATCGAAATGCCAGCTCATTGTAAAAGATGAAAAATACAATGAGGCGTTAAATGTATTCAAAATTACCGAAATTGAAAGTAAGGAAGGGGCCAGAGGAATTGGTTCTGTCATAGGATCCGAGACTGAATGTAAAACGTTCTTAGAAACTCAGTAAGAAGAACAACACGAAAAACTGAAAAAAATTCGCAAGATCGCCAAAACATCACCACAAAACGTGTACTCCTGTTACATCAAAAGGGTACAGGAAAAACTATTGTTTTTAGCTAGAACTACCCCAATACCACAGAAAACATCCTGGCCTGCGAGAAGATACTGCAGGAAAATCTCATTCCAAGTTTATTTGGTAAAGATAGTTTTAGCCATCAACTTAGAGACATCGCTTCTCTGCCACTGAAAATGGGTGGTCTAAATATCGAGCTACCTTCTGACTATGAGATTTTTTTAGAATCGTCAATTAAAATGTGGTCAGTCTTAGACACCTACAACCCATTAACAGCTATATCTAAGCAAGAAAAAATCTATACAAAAATCAAAACACTTAAAACTGATAGAATAAAACAGAAGATAACTAACATTTTGAACAACTTGAGCGACAGTGAAAAACACGCACTTGAGCTAGCCTCCAAAAAAGGGCCTCAAACTGGTTAAACGCACTGCCATTTACCAGATATAATTTCAACCTAACTAAATCTGAGTTCTGGGATAGAACTATTTCAGATATGGATGGGAACCAAGAAACACTGAAGTTTCGGCTCGATTTCAACATCATAGCAAACATCGCTCATGAGGTTGGCAAAGGTATCTCTGATTTCGTCATGCCTCATGTGGGTGTATCCACCCTTTGCACAGTGAAGGGCGTGGGTAAGGTCAGAAGTTTGACCACATGCACATGTGAGTTTGTGCATGTGGTCAAACTCACATGTGCATGTGGTCAAACTTCTGACCTTACCCACGGCCTTCACTGTGCAAAGGGTGGATACACCTACATGAGGCATGACGAAATCAGAGATACCTTTGCCAACCTCAAGAGCGATGTTTGCTTGCTATGATGTTGAAATCGAGCCGAAACTTCAGTCGTTGCAAGGCGAGACCTTTGTCAACAATTCAACCACAACTGTTGAAGGAGCTCGACTAGATGTAACAGCAAACGGATTATGTTGCTCAAGGTTTAGCCGAACCTTCCATGATGTCAAAGTCTTCAACCCACACGCAAAAACTTCTCGAAGACTACTGAAAGACGCCTATAAAAACCTCGAATCACTGAAAACTCAAAAAACCAACAGATAGTTTTACAAGTTGAACAGAGCAGCTTCTTCCCGTTCATTTTTGGTTGCACTGGTGGTGCCGCACTAGCAGCTACACGGACAATGCAGCGCATAGCTGAAAAACTTAGTGAAAAAAGGCATGAAAGCTACTCAGAAACAATAAACTATATAAGAGCTAAGATAAGCTTTAGGCTATTTAGGAGCGCTACCCTTTGTACACGGGTATGCGGATCACTGCGTAAGACTCAATTCATAGTGCTTTTATAGAGGAGGGACTGTTGAAGTAAATACCTTTAAACAATGCATCAGATCCTGACTTGACTTAAATCCTGCAATATTGTTAACTGATGTATTTATATGATGCTGGTATTGGCCCTATCCAGCTTGTGTAAGACCGTACCTAAACGGAAGGGCCCCTTCTATAATTTACCTTTTTTTGATAGACACGAGATAGCCAAGATCAATGGACACTATGGTAGGATTGATGGATATAAATACACATTTCAATCTTGACATACTATGTATCCGA